TGTCCACATCTATTACTGTACTACACATGCTGTTCACTAACCATGCTACTAAAGTCTTAATGGAAAGCTTGTCTATAGCAGGGCTGAATACCCACCAGTGTTGATATCATTAACTAAAACTAATAAAGTCACATGATAAATGAAATAAGACTGCAATACAATAAAATCTAAATATTAGATGAATAAAATTCGAAATGTTATTAGTGACTAACTAAGTACTAAAATGACTGAAACTAAAACTGAAATAAAAATAATGAATCAGCAGTACTTTAACCATATTTCAAAGACAATAGAAGTAATTATGCAATTATATATACTGTAAAGATGTACTTGGTGAGTCAAAAAGCACTTTAAAAATCAGCTAATTGCTATTTAATATGAATGTAAAGAATAATACATGTTATTAAATAACATGCAGTTAAGTGTCTGAAATCATTACATTCAGTTGGCACTTGAATTAAAAAAGTATAATAATTCTGTAGTAAGTGCTCTTTTTAAAAATATAATAAAGTATTCTTCTTTTCACAAGAATATTTCATTCATTCTGTTAGGTAGGGTGTACGGTGTAAACTATTTAGCATCCTCAGCATTTCAGCTCATTCTCACAATATATTTCATGTACCAAAAACACAAATCGCATCAATATGTGAATTCAGCAGTGTGCAGATATTATATATGACCAGCATAATCAGTACAGTCTAATGCACTGTAGCTCCATCAGAGACCTTACCGTACTGCTTTGAGACATTACTGTTCATCATTATGTATAGATGATGGCAGTCATCAGCGCTTTGAACACACTGCACACACACCTGAGGCAGGGCTCTTACCTGCGCTGGGTCAGGTTGTGTGGAGAGGTCAGTCTGGATCTCTGCTGCTTTCCTCTCTGAGCAGGACTGAGGGGCTCTGGCCAAGCGGAGGGGTGTCAGAGCGATGGCCAGCTGTTAGTCTGTGTGCTTTCTCTAGCATGCAGTTATAAATAGCACTGATCACACACACAAACCGACTTACGTTGACACTTTTGAGTGGGACGGAGACATTCATTCTTAGGTTTCAGTTCGGTCAACTAAGTTTTGGTTAATGTGGTCAGTGGCCTAATTTCTACTGTGAATGAGTGTAATATGATTTGTAGGATATATTTAAAACACCTTACCCTGCCTTTTTCATGGAAACACATTAAATTTAATTAAATATTCCTTCCCTAGTAAAAAAAAATTCATTAATAAAATGTATTTGAAATACATTTATTTTGTGCTAAGCAGTGTTGGGGAAAGTTACTTTTAAAAGTAATGCATTACAAATATTGCGTTACTTCCTAAAAAATTAACGAATTACTAGTTACTTAGTTAGTTTTTATTGAAAGTAATGCGTTACTTTTGCGTTACTTTTTAAATCTGGGCAGGGCTTGCTTGTTTGCTTTTAATATAAAAAGTTCTATTTTTGGCAAATATAAAAGCCATTTCACACCAAAGGCCTCAGGCTGAAGGAAATGTAAATTCACGTCTGTACAGTAGAACGCAGAAGAAGAAAGTTCAACACTCTTCAGCAATAAAAAAGAAGAAGAAATGTTAGCAATAGCTTATTAGTATGGCTGGATCATCGAAGGTCAACAGCAAATTGGTTAATAAAATGGGATTAAATACATAAAGGATATTTGTATTATTTAACATATTTAATTATTGCAGCCTTGCGTCATATTCTGAGTTGCTTTTAACTGTTTTTATTAATTTTGAGAAAAACTAAATCTGTTTTTTTTTTTTTGTGAGTGAGATGAATTAAAGCATGTTCACATTTATTCTAGAATTAAAGTACCATCTTACTCCCGATTTCTCTCGACATGGGCACAGGAGAGCTTTCAATCAATAAATGGGAAAAAAAAGTAACTGGCGTTACTTATTTGAAAAAGTAACTCAGATATTTTCTTGTAAATTAAAAAGTAATGCGTTACTTTACTAGTTACTTGAAAAAAAGTAATCTGATTACGTAACTCGCGTTACTTGTAATGCGTTACCCCCAACATTTACATTACCCTTACATTTCACTGCTGGTCATATATTCTCTATATAACCATGTATGTGACAAATAAAAAATCTTGAATCTTGAACTGGGGCTAAGTATACTTAATTGTACTTTTGGTATACTAAACTAGCATACTGAAAGTCTGCTAAATTGGAATGACTAATTTTGTGCTTAATGCGCTTTAATTGTGCAGAAGTAGTGTTGAAGTCCAGTTAAAGATATACTGAAGTATATTTGATTGTGCTAAAGTGGAATCAATTGCACATTGTACACTTTAAATATCTTGCATTTAAAGACCGATATGATACAAAGATCATACAATCCTCATCAATATGCAAAGCAAAACTGAGCCACTATGCAGAAATTCGAAAAAGACGATGACTAATTTCATTGTGTATATGAAGTTAGATGGTTTTGTCCAGTATTCTAACTCCCTCGTTTCCTTCATCCTTCCCATAAAGCTCAAATAAACCTGTCACTCCCAGATACAGTAATGTGTCATGTAATGTGACATAATCAATAATTACACCGCAGATGTGAGGAAATACATTTACAGTGTGTTGATCACTGGTAACCTTGTACTGTTATAAGCATAGTATACTACTACAGATAATAAAATATACTCCTAATTTATGTATATTGTTATATAGATTCATACTTATTTATATTGGGGAAGTCGTGGCCTAATGGTTAGAGAGTCAGACTCGTAACCCAAAGGTTGTGGGTTCGAGTCTCGTACCGGCAGGGATTGTAGGTGGGGGGAGTGAATGTACAGCGCTCTCTCCCACCTTCTGTGTGTGTGTGCGCTTTGGATGAGATAAATGCAGAGCACTAATTCCGAGTATGGGTCACCATACTTGGCCACATGTCACATCACTTTCACTTTTTTCACTTTCATATAATATAACTGGAATGGCCGACACTGACTATAATTTACATATCCCAAACAGCAGATTAATTGCAGAAGCCTATTTTGAACAGGGTTCAGTCTTCAATGTCAGCTGCCACATAGTTCAGTTGTATGACAAGTACAAGCTCAGGAGTCGAGCCAAGCCATTATATAACAAGACAGCAACTTGTTACAGACGGCTGGACTGAAAACCACTCTCCCTCAGGCTTGATTTCTCACAAAATATGCAACGTACTACATTTTTGCTCAAAAACTCCCCAAAGAATTCAAAAGACGACTACAAGCGCTGCACTTTTTAACATGTTCTTTTAATACAAGTGCAAAGCATGGTTTTATTTCAGAACGTGGAGCTGCAGAATGTATAAATCAAACAGGTCACTGAATACTGAACTCCTCTCTGATGCACTTGACAGTTCAACAAATCTTTTGGTCTCTTGATCAACATTTTATAAATCAAACACGTCAAAGTTTAGCTTGCTGATATCCTTCATGAAGAAACATTCAGTCACAGAATAAAGAAATAAAAGTATGAACAACTCGCAGAGTAGAAATGACCATCATTTTTAAGTGGATTGAGAGCATGCATTGTCACAAATGAAACCTCACAGACAAAAAAAGTAATTTGTGACAACATTCACAGCACAATACTTGTAAGGAATGTACACTTCTTTATTTATTTATTAATAGCAAAACGGAGATTGAATTAGTTGAAGTGAATCTGGTGCAGCAGGGCGTGTGGTGAAGGGTCAGGCCGGGTCACCAAAGAATGATTTAATCTTTTAAAGTGAAGCTTATGTAACAAGTACGGCTGTTACTGATTCAACAGTTTCTGCGTAATAGCTTTGTAGCACACAAACAAAATTAATTTTAGAATCACTACATCACTACAATCGAGACATCCCCATTATAGTATTATTTGAATGCAGTAATTTCAAATTTGCTGTTAATTTGTGATTAAACAAGCTGAACTGTCTCACACTAGCATTTACATTATGTACTATGAAGATGTATGTTTTGTTATTTCTTTAGCATGTATCATGCACAATCACTTTGCCCCATTCATTAGTGTTTAATTTTAGAATCACTACATCACTACAATCGAGACATCCCCATTATAGTATTATTTGAATGCAGTAATTTCAAATTTGCTGTGAATTTGTGATTAAACAAGCTGAACTGTCTCACACTAGCATTTACATTATGTACTATGAAGATGTATAATGTTTTGTTATTTCTTTAGCATGTATCATGCACAATCACTTTGCCCCATTCATTAGTGCAATACTTTAAAACTGAATGCATGACCCTTGTGAAAAAGAAGTGCACTGGTAGTGTGCTTCAAATCTTAATTTTTTTTTTAAATTGTACTTGCAGATATAATTAGTGAAATAAAAGGCCACTTAAGTCTACTTAGAAAGAGTGCATGTTCATGACTGTGTTCCTTAACACACTTAAGTACACTTTTAAGATAGTCCTACTTACTTGGGTCAAAAAAGCATTTTAAAGTTCAGCTAACTGCATTTAATAAAAATGTAATCTACATGTTCATTTAATTTCAATTAGCATGCAGTTAGGTGTCCAAAACATTGCATTCAGTTTGCACTTAAGTATATATATATATTTGCACTGCATATTATTTCCATAATAAGTACTCTTTTTAAAAATATGGGTTACACTTTATTTTAAGGTGTCATTGTTACAGTGTAATTATACATTTAAGTACTGAGTAATATTAATTAACTACATGTACTTACTATATGGTTAGGGTTAGGCTTAAGGTTACTTGCATGTAATTATGCATAATTTTTTAAAATTATAATAGTAAGTACATGTAACATGTAATGGCCTTATATCAGTGACTTAAACATTTGAGTTTTTCACTAACCACGCATAAACGTTGCTTTCTCAAAAACACAATCATGCTGCTCACATATTATTGTAGCCCAGTTTGTGCTGAATACAGTGCAATCAGACTTTAGCCATTAATATGTTTATAAGCAACTGAAAAAAAGTACAAATGTCAGGGCATGTCAAAACTTCTCCAGGGCCCCAGAACACCCTCAGAGGGTTAAAAAAAAGTGTTACCAAAATATGCTTAAATGTACTTCTTTTTCACAAGGGGATGCATATTCACTGATCACAATGAGTGATTATTGTAAGCAAGCTGTAACACTAATAATCTTCATAAACTTAACTTCTCGTATCATTTTCTGACTTTCATGGACCCTCATTGAGCAATATCAACTTCTCTGTCTTTCTTGTTCAATAGTAGCCATAATAATTTGACTTTACTCACTTTCCAGCAATATTCATTCCTATTTGATTTCACGTTCACTTACATACTGTATAAAGCGCTTCCCGGCTCTCCTTCAACGTCTCCAAGTACTGCTATCTTTGGCTTTATAGAGTCTCAGTCTTTGAGGCCCCATTTCTTTCGGATCGGCCGGTGAAGGCCCAAGATTAGCCTCTGTCATTGACCTTTGGGGTTGTCTCAAGGGTGACCCGTATGGGATGGGACCAGCTGGTGCCGACGCTGTGCTCTTGGTTGGGGACAGAAAAGTCAGAGGTGATTGACTTAAACGGTCTTTTTGGTTTTTTGGCGGAGGTTCATACGCGACCTTTGCCTTCCACTCGGCCGGAGGCTCGGGTAAGAGCTTACTCTTAGCGGCATAGCGCAGGTTGGAGGCAATGGACTGCTGAATGTCCAGAAATGTAAAGGCTTCATCCACGAGCCCCAGTGGGTGGCGTGAGGCAGCTTCCCAGGGGGTGGGCGGCTTGTGACCCCTGTCTATCCGGGCGGTCTGTCCCACTGGTGGCCGAACGGAAACAGTGTGGGATGAAGGTCTGGGTGATGGAGAAGATGAAACCGACCTGGGGTTGAGACCCGCTGCTGAAAGTCTGACCGGTGGTGACAAGGATGAGCTCCTAAGCGCCTGAAATGAGCAAACAAATTCATTTAAAACAGGTGGCAATAAACAAGTCGTTGTTTCAAAACACTTTTCAAGGTTCACTGATATATGTGCGTGCAGGCACAAAGACATTTTCCAATCAGGTTTCCACAAGGAATGAACTGAGTGACACTAAACAAGAAGGGCTGTGCTGCCACCATCTGGTTATGATATGAACCTGCAGGGCACGTATTACTACAACTCATTTGATAAATCAGATTTTGCAGGATGTGTAAAATGAGCATTTAGAATCAAATGTGATGTTATGAGCTAAACAATACTCGGCGACACTTTATTTTAAGGTGTCCTTGTTACACGTTACATGTACTTACTATTATAATTGCAATACATTATGCATAATTACATGCAAGTAACCCATAAGCCTAACCCTAACCATATAGTAAGTACATGTAGTTAATTAATATTATTCAGTACTTAAATGTATAATTACACTGTAACAAGGACACCTCAAAATAAAGTGTAACCAAATACTCTAATGATAACATTATTTTTAGTGAATTTGTAGTATGTTTGTAGAAAAAAATTCCAAGTTGACCAAGAACAATGCATGTGGAAAAATATGTATTATATGCGTTAAAAAAAAAGATTAATGTATTTATTTTGTACAATAAAAATGTAATGTATTGTTTTAAGAAGCCAGTAAAGTGTTAAATAAATAATAGCTTCATTATTTACAATTTTAATACCAGACTTAATATTGACAAATATGACAATCATGTAGATGTCGCACATTTTTTATTTTTTCTCTGATGTTTTATAAAAACATAAATGAATCAGTCTAAAGTGATATTAAAGTGAAAGGTGCCGTAAAGCAAATCATGGGACCAGAGATCACATTTCTCCAAATATAACTTCTGCAGCAGGCCTTGAAGGGCATTCATTCATTCATATCATTTCCATGTCTTACTTAGCTCCTGAAAAGTATGATGCAACACGGGCCCAAATTTAGAACAATACTCATACTCCAGCTTGCCATTTGACATTCTTATTTCAGGCTTACAAATTATTGATTTTTTCCATGCAGACAATAATTACTCTCATGCATATGGGACTGAATAGGATGTAAATAAAAATAGAAAATATAATTTCATATACACCTACAAAAATATTTGGATTTATGCCATCTAAAATGACTTGTTGTTAAATGTAATCTACTTTTTATTAGGAGAGACTAATCACAGATAACTGTATTTACTCATAAGTAACTGTATTTACTGTAAATACTAACTGTATTTACTAACGGTATCTATTTATGAATAATGATAGTTGCCAATATTTTACTTACCTTATTAACTGACAAGGAATCTACTACTAAAAGATAAGGAAAATGATTTTCAAAAGGAATATGAAAGCAGAGAATAGTGAGAGGTGCAAAAAATGCATGATTGTAGAGATGGAATTGAGTGAAGTACATGCAAAAGCAAACAAACAAAACTGAAGACAGTAATTTTAATGGCACTGTGGTACATGTTACAAATAGTGTTCTATGAAGAAAACATCACACAAAGAAATGAACAAAAGACAGCAAAAAAAGAACAGAATATAGCAATCAAACTAAAAATTAACTCGTTGACTTCCTATATCTGTTTTATTTGATGTTGATGTTTCTAGTAGAACTGCTGAAAAATACTGAAGCAAACTAAAATTTCCCCCTCAAAAATAAACAAGAAGTTACACAAAATCTACTTATTTTCATAAAACGTAAAAATTAAGAGCTCTCCAACTATGTACCAGCTGTTAAACATTAAAATATTGACACTATTCAACCTACTTGAAAAAACTCACATACTGAGTACATTCATTTCTTCAGTTATGAAGAAAGTCTGAAACATTACTTACAATTTAGAAATATAACAATGTTTTTTTTTCTCTGAAGGTGAGAGATGATTGAATTTCACTACATAAAATAGTCACCTTAATACATTCTGTCTCTGTGTTATATAGTATCTCCTTGCACTGTTGGCTCTGCCAGAAGTTGTTCATACACTGTTTACTTGCATATTCCAACTATCATAAGACTGTTCATGTATTTATTTCTGTCTGTCCACTGAGGTGTTGTAATATGATTATATAGTGTTGGTTTGGTTTTAAGGATTATATCCTTAAATTCTATTGCAACTCATTTACTCAGTAGCCCTCAGAACAGACCATTATGCATTTCTGTCACTTTTTCACCTGTCCAAATATTTCCCTCATTATTAAGCATTCATGTTTCTCTTCTCAAACTCAATCAACAATGATTCCCTTTGACCAAAATTAAGTCTAAGCTGACTAATGGCGCTTTTCCACTGCATGGTACGGCACAGTACGGCTCGGTACGGTTCACTTTTGGGGGGTTATCCACTGGGTACAGTACCTGGTACCTGGTACTTTTTTTAGTACCACCTCGGTTGAGGTTCCAAGTGAACCGTACCGTTACCAAAACGTGACGTATAAACTCTGCTGATCACGGATTGGCCGGAGAGAATCGTCACTAAGTCGCGGCAATAGAGGCGGCGCAACTATAACGACATGTGAATAATCCCGCCCACTCTAAAGCGGTACTGAACTGCAGTGGAAACACAAACCGAGCCGAGCCGAGCCGTGCCGTGCCGTACCGTACTGAGCCGTGCCGAGCCAAGTCGTACCACGCAGTGGAAAAGCGCCATATGTACATTCTTGTCTTACCTGTAGCAGGCCATGTCTATAAAAATATTTGTATAAAGTACTTGGCTGAGCATTCTTCTGTAAAAACACTATGTGATATAATTCTGAAATATCTATGCGCTCTTCTGATCTGTTCTGGCAGATCTTAAAAGTCGGTTGTTACACAATATTTCTGTTTGGAAGTAAGCTTCTGCTCTACATAAAGTATCTGGATCATAGCTTAGTTGTCCTAAGGTAAAAACACTGGAGAAAAATCACTATAACATAACTATTTTTCAGGAGTGCTTGGCTTCCACACCTGGGCAGCACTCTTCTTGGCTGAAAATTTGGGCTTTGGAGCAGCAATAATACTGCCTCCTGAGGCAGAGTCAGCCCTTGCTGCTACTGGGTAAGATGGCACAACATAAGAACTAGGGGCTGGTTGGTAGGACAGTGAAGGTCCAGCTTGATATACTGGATTAGGACCTGTCTGGTAAGAGGGTGGGGAGGGCTGTTGGTAGGGAGGGCTTGGTGCTTGTTGGTAAGGATTTACAGAAGGCTGTTGGTAAGCTTGTGGGGGGTTGTATTCTTGTTGATATGGGACCTGTTGAGGATGTTGTTGATACGAATTTAGAGCAGGCTGATATGTATTAGAAGGGGGTTGGTGGTAAAGACCATCTTGCATAGGTGACTGACCAGCCATCCCATAGGGTTGCTGGGCCTGTTGTGGCATAAAACCATAAGGGGGAGGATCTTGGTTATATGCCATTTGCTGGTTTTGATTTGGGGGACCTAGTGCTTGAATTTGGGCCTGGGCCTGAGCTTGAGCTTGAGCCTGGGCTTCATCTGCTTTTTGAGCAGCAAGCTTTTCAGCTGCCTCCTTTTCTGCAGCAAGTTTCTCTGCTGCTGGGCCATAGGTAAAAAGGGAGGAATTCAGCTGATAGGGCTGATGCTTCATGACATCAAGAACATGAAGAGGTTTTGGGGCAGGTTTTTGCTTATCTTTGTTTTTGTTCTTATTTGCTGTTGAAGGGCTAGAGGGGGGAGGCTGCTTGATAGCACCTGGTGGATATGACGGTGAATGAATTGGATTATATGCCAGTGGCGGGGGAGCCCGGCAATTGGGTGAATATTTCCAGGAAATTGGCAAAGAAGGAGAAGGTGAAGATGGTCTTGCCTTATTCTGCACTGTGGTAGAGTCCACAATGTACTTCTCCATTCTGGATTGCCTCTTGGCGAACAGTTCAGCTCCTTTCCCTCTCAAGGCTGGCATCTCAAATGCTGACCCAAAACCACAGGGGGACATAGTACTACTTTTTGGAACAGGAGATGGCGCCTTTGTCCCAGTGGTATATGAGTTCATTCGTCGTGGAGGAGTGGGCTGAGAGCTCCGAGCTGGACTATGTGGCTTGACTGGTTGGGGAGGTAATTTCTGGGATTCATTTTGGGCAATGCTGCTAACTGAACTCTGTTGGTGTTGGGGTGCCCAAGCATTTACAGCCGGTTGAGACTGAGATTGTGGTGGTGCCCACTGGCTCACAGGTGGCTCGAATGCCTGCTTTTGAGGTTTCGGTTCCCATGGAGGATGAGCCTGAGGCTGAGTTGGTGGGAGTGGCTGAGCCCAGGGAGGCTGAATTTGATTCTGTGCAGGTGTCCAAGAGTTCATTGCTTGTTGAGGATGTTGAGAAGCAGGTTCTTGTCCCCACTGTGGATGTGGTTGGGACTGGGCTGGCACTGGTGGCCAAGGATTCATGGGTTGCTGCACTGGTGCTGTGGGCTGAGGTGGAGGTTGAGTCTGCTGAGCCCATGGAGTTTGTGCTTGAATTGGGCTCTGTGGCTGAGTCCATGCGTTTGCAGATGGCTGTGTTGGCTCTTGCTGTTTGGCCTGAGAGACCCAAGGTGGTTGGGGCTGTGACTGCCTCTGAGGTTGAGTCCAAGAAGTCTGTGGCTGTTGTTGAGGGGGTGATGCCCAATGTGTCATTAACTGGGATTGTTGGAACTGTTGTTGTTGGGTCCATGCTGGATGTTCCTGAGCTTGAATTTGATCTTGTTGCCAGACATTGATAGATGGTTGTGCCGGCTCATGTGGCTGAGACCATGGAGCTTTTGGGGTTGACTGATTTGGACTTGGTGCCCAAGAATTGATTTGGGGCTGAGGCTGTGGTTGATGTTTGGTTGGGGGTGAAGTTTGAGGCTGTGTTACCCAAGAAGGCTGGGATTGTGTTTTAGAAGGCACTTGTACTTCTGGAGGACCTTGAGACTGTGTCATCCACTGTGGCTGTGTTTGAGACTGGTTATGAGATGGGACTTGCAATTGGACCTCATTTGGACCCCAAGTACTTACTGGAATCTGCTGATGACTTTGGGTTGGAGCTGGATCCCATGATCTGACAGATGGGTCTGACTGCGTAACAGGTTGTGCGACAGGAGCAGAATTCATTTGCGGCTGGGGTTGTTTCTCATTCCAGGTTTCTGGTTGCTGGTTCAGCTCCATTTGGGATTCTTGTTGTTTCCAGGCATTATCTGGAGGAAGCTGTTCAGGACAGTGTGAAACATCATGGGATTCAGGGGCCAATGTAGGCTTTTCTTCAGACAACTTTGAGGCCCCCATTTCAGGGGCGGGGG